AAAAAAAAAAAAAAAGCAAAAAACGCACAAAATTGCGGCGACCCTCGACCAGGGTGCTGTGGGGGCGCGGGGTGGGGGCCGCGCTCGACTACTAGGTACTCCGTACCTACCCGGGTCCGGGGGGAGGGATCTGGGTCTGTCTGGGGCCGTGGGGCTGGGCTGGGTAGGGCTGGGTAGGGCTGAGTAGGGCAGCGAGATGGGAAGAGTTGAGGGGTCTGGGGGTCTGCTGCCTGCCTGCCTAGTCACCTACCTACTATAGCGCGCGCTCTGCGGCCGGCCACGACCAGACCAGACCAGACCAGACCGATCTGCATCAAGACGAAGCACAGCGCAGCACGGCGCTCGCTCGCTCGCGAGCAGTGTCTCTACCTATTGTCTCACTTACTGGCACCCAGCACCCCCCGACGGGAGGGAGGCATCGCACCTCTCACCCCGAACCCCGAACCAACACCAACCGCGACAACCCCGCTCTTAGCCCAGAAAGCAGAAAGCCAAGCCCTGGCCCCCAATCTCCAGTCCCGAGCCCACGGCACCCGGTCCCCGGTTCCGCCCCGCCCCGCTTCCCGACCGCGCGCTTATCCTCCGTATTCGCTCGCTGCGCCGCCTGCGCCGCAGGAGCCGGGCACCAACCCAACCCAATCCAACGCAACAGAACAGAACAGAACCCCGGCCCTTACTACAGCATCCCGCAACCCGAACCCCGGCGGTAGTTACAGCTCGGCCGGCACGCCCCAATGCGGCACCGCGGGCCGCGCCGCATGGCGAGCGAGCGGTGAGGGTTTGTGCTGGGGAGGGCAGGGCAGTCAAAAGGCACGACAGGCAGGGTTACGATGCCCTCCCTAGCCCAGCCCGTTTCGCTTCGCTTCGCCTCGTCCGTTGCTCTGTCCTGCCCTGCCCTGCCCTGCTCACTGGATCTGGGTCAGAAGGCTCGGGCCGGGCCGGGCCGGGCCGGGCCAGGTCAGGTCCGTCAAGCTATATAAGCTGCCCCATACATACACACGCGCGCGCGCATCTGTTTCCGCTGCCGCGGAGCCGGCGCCGGTTGTGCTGGTGCTTTTGGGGCAAGCGCAAGCGCGTGGGCGTGTCGTTGTGTTGTGTTGTGGCTCTTCCTCCGCGTCGGCGTTGGCGTTGAGTTGAGTTTGGCGGGGCGGGTCGCCTGCGTGCGTGAGTGCTTTTCTGTATGCTCGTCTGCGCCTGTGTCCCGGATGGGGGGTTGCTTGACTGCTTGGTTAGGTAGTCGGCCGGCCAACTAACCAAGTAATTACTGTGCTGACGGGCTCGGACGCTCGATATCGGATGGGTGTTTGGTGCTTTTGATGAAAGGGAAGAGGGACGAAAGAGAGAAAGGGAGGAATGTTTGTATATGTATATGTATGTGTACGACGGAGGCATTTTGGTTTTGTTTTGAGGCGTTGAGCGGCACGGCGGGTTATGTTTGGAAACGGGTTGTCACAATCCAATCCAATTGGATTTAGGGTTGGATTAGGTTTGGGTTTGGGATTGCGCCATCTTGGTGCTATGCATTAGGTTGGTTGTTTGTTTATTTGGTTGGTTGCAGCTACATACCTAGCTAGCAACAGCGTGGGAGGCTAGAGCAGCTAAGCGTATAGCATAGCGCCACCACCACCAAAGAAAGCAAGACGAACCTCATTCTCATCCACACTCACCTTTCCCAAAACCCCCCAAAACTTAACCAAACAACCAACCAAACACACACGCCCCTCCCCCATTCTCATCCACACTCACCTTTCCCAAAACCCCCCAAAACTTAACCAAACAACCAACCAAACACACACGCCCCTCCCCC